ACGATGGAAGGACAGCTGATTGGTCGATATGACTCCGTTAGCGCCGGCGAATGACCGGGTTTCAGGACTGGGACGATGGTGGCTCGTCGCCACTGGACCGGAATCGTGCCGGCTGTCCGGCTGTGGTTGATGCGGCGGAGAGGGAATCGGAGACACTTCGTCGAAAGATGTCGTAGCGCCTCGCCGTAGACTTCTTCCGGTCCGGGGCCTTGCCGTACGGTGTGCTACGCAGCGCTGCACGCAGTTCCGCTTGATTAAAAGAGGCATCCAGAGAGAGGGGAGAGAAGGAACCTATCGAAGATGAGGCGGCCGACTCGTTGTTGTTCTGCGGCCTAAGAAGGGAATGGAGAAGAAATACACAAAGACTTGTTTTCCCCGTTATTTCCCGTTGGAAAACCCAATCGCCTTGCGAGGTGGGGAGGAATCCAAGATTGAGCGCGTCCGCTGCTCTCCTTGCTGTCCTGAAATTATTCTTCCGGCCATCGTACATCAACGCCGTTGTGGGAGATGGAATTGATGTCTTTTTACGTCCGGAATCGTATTTTTAGGCGAGTGGTTTGCCCGGGTTTAACTTTCTGATGCGATGCCGATATTTGCTGCGCGAGCGCTCACGGAGTAGGAGGAAGAATTGGCTCCTTGTCCGTTGCGTCTCTGCTTCACGGTCGGGCGTCGGTAACTGCAGACAGCGGGCCTTGCTGTCGGTAGCAATCCGCTCTGCTTTCGCAAGGGTGTCACCCCGGAGCTTGGGACCATCCTTGTGCATGCCGCGAGGTCAACGCCGTCGAAGTGAAACTGCAAGCGCTCTCGTAAAAGCTTTAATGCCGGTTGATTGCTTTTTGTAGTCGCATGCTGGAAGTTGTGCGTCGAGGTTGTTGGCGAAGGACTCCCACTTGGACTTCCACCAGCTGTAGAAAACTCGACGTACCGAAGTGGGTGGCGAGGGTATGGTATCCTTAAATGCCTGATGCAGCGTGAATGTCAACACATGGTGGTCACTGAGCGGCGGCACATTGGCTGTCCAGTCGGACACGGTAAGATGCCTTGACCATGTCCGGTCGATACAGGATCTCTCTCTTGCACCACGAGCATACTTTGTTTTACCAGGGGTGTTAACCAAGGCGGGTCCTGCATCCGTGCGCGGTTGTATGAAATTCTACAGCGGAGTTGCTTGGAGGGGTCTCCAGGAAGGGCTCCCACCGTGGGCGACGCACGTTGAAATCCCCACACGGAATGAGCGGCGACGAGACCGAGAGGCAGTTCAGCAACCGCCTAAAGGTTGTGTCAGTTGCGGCGGTGGTCTCATATAGGTGCTCGCTACAATAAGATCACGGTTCTGGCCCAGCGCGACCCGGACCACCACCACTTCGAGGCTGGAATCACGTTGAGGAGTGATGAGGGGCATACGCTTGGAGCGGAGAGTTTTCCTCACCAGCGCCGCTGCAACACCTTCCTTGCGGATACGTGATTGTGCATGGAGCACATACTCTCCAGCGTGCATGCTGGCGATCTGCTCCGACGACTTCCAGGTCTCCTGGATGGCTATCATGTCTGCTCCTTGCGCCATTAATGTTGCGAGTTTGGCCGGCGTCAGTGAGGGAACGGTCATCTGGAGTGCTGCTATGGGGCTCGGGCTTCGCTCAATGTCTCCGCCTCGCAGTAGCTTTTGCCTCTGCGCGTCACTTACGGCACGCAGACGACATGTGTAGCGCTGGTAAGCGCCGACGAAATCCGGCAGCAGTGAAACCCGCTCGTCCGTCGCATCGTCTGAATCCCACTTGCTGCGATCCCCACTGCTGTCCGCACACTTCGTGCTTGCGTGCCCCCTGGTGACCGGGATATGGTTTGGCCCTTCGCGCTGTATGCGCTTGAATTGTCCTTTCGCGACTCTTCGCTTGTCTTGGCACCTGGCCCCGGCGGTGTATTGAATGCGTTGCTGCGCCATCTTGTACCCGCAGCCCGCTGCTCGCTCAGAACGATGAGTAGCACCTCCCTTGCTGACGGTAGCCTGCGAAGTTCCTGGGAAACGGGGGACACTACTCGCACCCGCAGACACGGGAAGAACGCATGCCGCACGGAGAGTTGTCGGCCCCTCCCGCTGCTCTCTGTCCTGCTAGGAGTGAGCGAAGGACTGGTCCACCGCCGCCCGTCAGCGCTGCTGGGACGCCACCGACGTCAGCCTTTATCCACGCCACGACGCACGGTCTCCGACGTGGTGACGCCTGTGAGTGACGGAACGGCACGAGGGCTGAGCGAGCGCATCGCTGTGGAGTGTGAGCGTCGCAGGGGCGGCGTCCCGCGCTGCACCGTCGCCGTCGCCGCTCTCTCGCAGTCCCGACTGGCATCTCGACTGCGTTCGACACCGTTGACGATGGGCGACTGCTGGCCGTGCTCGGCGGGCTCCCGCGCCTGTGCTGTCGAGCCCAACACTGGTTGCGCAATCACCTGGGAGGCGGCCGCGTTGGGGTGAGTGATCGCGAGCAATGTTCACGAAAGCAGCTCCCTTTAGCCGAGGCAGCCCACTGCAGCACGTGGGTAACACAGGTCCTGGGAACACTTGTTTAGACGGGTGTGAGCTGCTGCCGTGCATGGTGCATGGACTATTTGATTGTGTGGGGAGGTGCATGGTGTGACGAATACTTCTGTTTGGCATGTCGCGGTGCGTCGGAATGATGTTCGGAAGACATGTGAGGGGTTTTGTGTGTAGTTTGTGTGTCTTCTCTGGTGGAGCCGACATGTGTGCGGGGATTGTGGCATTGCTGGCTGACGGTTCCACGTCACTTTTCAGCATTCCTGGATGTGCTGAGGAATGACGGCTGGCGACCAGCGTGTTGGCACTGCCGGTGGGAATAAGTACACGAGGAATTGGCCATTTTCTCTTTCCCATGCTGGAGCCGATGAACTGGCACGAGGGCACCGGCTGCAGGCTGCCTGCCAGCACGTGTGAGCAGCGGATCTATGCACACACAGACGCTCATCGCAAGAGCTTGTGCGATCACAGTGGCTTTTGTGGCGTGCTTTTGTGGGCGTCAGCCCGTCGGAGAATGTGTGAAGCAAACGGCTGACGGAACACGAGGAAAATAAGTGCGTGCACTGTGCCGTGTTTCGGCGTCGGTGGCAGAGCGGCAGGAGGCCCGTGCTGGCAACTGAGATCTTTGCGTCGCGAGGGATGTCGGTGTTGATTTTGGGTTGTCGAGGGTGAAATGAATTTGCTGCTGCCCGTGTGTGTGGCCACTCCGGCAGAGGGCGAACACAAAAGGGAGGGATGCAGGCGCTGCGTGTGTGTGCAGGTGCCATGCAACAGCGTCACAACAAACATGCTGCGACTCGGTGACCCTCACATCGCTGTGGTCCTGACGAAAAGCCCAGGCACGGCCCGCATCGATGGACTTAGTGGACGGAGTGAGGCATCTTTTGAGGCGCAGCAGGGAGCAGGATGTGTTGACGCAGCCACGACGTGCATGGAGTGTCACGATGGCACAGCCGGCTGTGGCTGGTGGAATATTTACTTCTAGGAGGCAACAGAGAGAGAGAGAGAGAGAGCTGCTGCTGCTGGCGTCGTTGCTGCCTTTTGTGGCCTCCCATGCCGATTATTGTCTGTCCGCTGATCATGGGTGGTGTGCCTCCACTAGTGACGTCGTCTGCAGGCATTTCACAGCACCAGTGAAACACACATCGCGTCGCATGCTTTGGCTGTGGATATGGTGTCGTGCATGCAGCCGGCATTATTTTGCCCGAGTCCTTTTCACTGCTTTGCGACAAATAGATGCGTCGCCGCCCGAGTCATTCACTGCAGCTCCGTGTGTTGTACTGCCGGCACAATACTCTCGTGTTGTCTGGCGCCTGGCTGACAGTCAAGCACCACTGCGTTGGGTCATGCAAGGATGTGGACTGCCGCTCACGGTGTTGGGCACCGCTGTTTGGATGCGGCGGCCACACGAGCGGATGTATTGTGGCAGAATGAAATGCGTGAAATACGCGGAATCACAGCGGCTGCAATAATATCAACGGTGTGGCGCCACGGAATGTGTGAGGGGGTGATGCATGATGAATCACAGTGGGCGGCATGCGAGGGAAGTGCACCGCGACGGAGCGTCACCCCGCCCTCAGCCTGCAGGGGAATGTACGCCCACAAGAATATATGGTCGAGGCACCACCAAACACGCATGCCCTTCTGTGCACCAATAAATAGGAGCGAAGGTGCGTTCTGGTGCGTGGGAGTCCACTCACATATTCTCATTTCCACCGCAATAAACGGTGAGGAATCAGGTGCCACGGCAACGAAGGAGGAAATAAAAACATCTATTGCAGCACTTTTACCAGCGAAAAGCAGGAACAACACAAATTGAATTATTGGCTGCACCAACACAATAAAAATTCACAAGAGAAGGAAACAGTTGTGCACACTGCAGGAACCCCCAACACACGATGCAGGCATGAAGGTTTACCCTCCGCAAAAACAATAACAACATATGCAGACATCTTCCACCCTCCAAAAAGAAACACGAATAAATGGTTGCTTTATTCCATTCCTTGCGCTTGACTTTGCGTGTGCGGCTGCTGCTGCGGTGGTGGCCGCGCTTGCATGGAGTGGTGTGCGGGGATCTCTCCTTTTCAATGGTTACTTTGCTTTTGTGTTGCTGTGTGCGCTGCACCTATTCTCGTGTGTGTGTGTATCCTCCGTGAGGGGTGCAGACACGACGGACCGCTCTCGCCGTATTTACATGCGGTGGAGCCTTGTGTGCCGCTCCTGTTTGCTTCTCCTTTTTCCATCTGTGTGTTGGTGTTGCGGCAGGGCTGCGTGTGTGTGTGTGCCTGTTGCCGTGGATTGGAGTGTGTGTCGTGCGTGGTGTGCGGCGTACGGTGCATGCCTGGCTGCTGCCCTCTCTTCTTTTGTGTGTTTGCCCTCTGTGTGTGTCTGCCGCACCTCTCGTCTCCCCTGTTGCTCTCCATGTCCCTCACTGTGCAGATCAGCTCCACACCACCGAACGACCACACTCACGATGATGACGTGCCGTCTGCTGTGCGCCCTGTTGGTGCTTGCCCTGTGCTGCTGCCCGTCTGTGTGTGTGACAGCAACTGGTGAAGATCAAGTTGCGGACAGCCCCAGTTTATCGCCTGTTTCGCCACCGGGAGCAAGTGTTCCAGGACCCGGTGGTTCAGGGTCGCTGACACAGGCCGGTACTGGACAGACACAGAGTGGAAACCCCACACCACAAGCATCAAGTGCGGGACCCGGTGTGCCAGGGAGTCCGGATACACCAAATCCGGAGTCTATTCCAAAAGAGGAACAGGCACCAGGTGGGTCCGATGGGTCAGGGTCGTCAGGTGGGTCGGTTAACCCAAATGCATCGTCAAGTTCCGTGACCGCTTCTGTACCGGCACAAAGTCAGAAGGAACATGCGCCAACAACAACAACAACCACTACTACGACAAAAGCACCAACTACCACCACCACTACGACTACGGAGGCGCCAACCACAACGACCACCCGCGCACCGTCACGTCTTCGCGAAATCGACGGCAGCCTCAGCAGCTCTGCGTGGGTGTGTGCCCCGCTGCTGCTCGCCGTATCCGCGCTGGCGTACACCACTCTGGGCTGAAGAATTGTGTGCGGGCTGTGCGTGCCAGCACTCAACCGCGGAGACTTGTGTGCGTCTACTGTGGTCCGATGTACTAA